GGACCCTGGGCCGTCAAAGCTGATTGAGAATGTCAAGCCATGTCAAAGGAGTTTCTGTTGCAGCTATTACTGCTAGCAGCGGAAATTGCGCTGCTGCTGCTGCTGCTGTTGTTGTTGTTGTTACCACCAGAGCTGACACGTTGCTATTTGAAAGGAAACCATGAAGAGAATCCTTTGCAGCACGTTTGGACATGTTAAACCTAAACCCCTTAAGTTGGCATTGGCAGGAAATCCTGGCGCGTCACCCTACGCTGCAGGAGGGAAGTACATGGCCCTTGGCCCAGAGTGCGGCTTATCAATGTGTAATTATGTAATTGTTCGGGGTGCTTATGGGTTGCTTCAAGATTGCGTCACATATTCGCATATCTCATGCCCTTAAGGCCTCAGGATCTTCGAATGGCTTTTCTTTTTTCCGTGGATCAACCTCTTGCGGTTTCGTAGGCTTTGAGGAGGCTGTCTCGGGTGTGCCAGTGTGACTGGACCAGATCTGTGTCATCTTCACCATGGTTTCTCTGTTTTGAATGCACTTCACGGTGCGAAGCACAGTGTTTGATCAGGAGTGGGCTAGGTATATTCAAGTTTATCATGCTTCGGCCAAACGGCGAAAGTTGAGCTTTTGCAAGATTTGGGGTGTAAGGATTCCCTGATTAAACTTCGCCAGCCAAGGTTTGCATCCTGCTCAAGGGGCTTTGTGTTGGCCTCTGCGCTTCCATCCCAGTAGGCTCAGACCTATAACCCTGCCCCTTCCTTATGTAGTCCCAATAAAAGCCTCAGTCATCCAGAAATCCCCATTAAGACCCTCACAAGATTTTGTCCCTGCAAATTCCATTTCTCCTGATCCCCTGAGGCACTGCATCTCCCACAAGTGGCTGCAGGTTTGGAAAGCCTACACGGGCTGGTCGAAACCTTAGCCCAATACATGCTGGTTTCAGCCCGCTACATACACAAGTTGTTGATGGGCAACAATCTGCATAACTCTAAGCTCATCATGGAACCACAACTCAGAGTTTGGTGGAAAGTGCTCTGTGCGGGTTCTGTCCATGAACAGTACGGGTCCCTGTTTGGGCTCTTGATAAAAGTTACTTTTCAGCGGTAGGGGATTCAGTGGGTGCAAGCAGGGTGTCTAGGCCTCTTGCTATGGGCCATGGACGGAGTTGGGTGATTTTGTTCTGACTGGAGTTGAAGTCCAATACGCAGTAGTATTAGGCTTACCACATATCAGAACTCAGAGGCCCAGGCTTGCACCACCCAGCGGCGCTTGAGTCCGAGGTGTTCTATACTGTCCGAACTTTCTTCTGTAAGTCTGGAGTTCTAAATCCGTAGGGCCGTAAGGCTGAAGAAACACGGCGGGGCTTCACCTCGTGTATTAAGTTAAGTACTTGGCTTGCACCTTTAGCTGGCAGGTGGGTCGCATGGACACGAGGGTAGGGGTCGTTGATGTGTCAACGCTTACAGGGGAAGGTTCCTGACTCCTTCAGGATGTGAAGGCTGAACATCATTTCAAGCTTCTTGTAATGGTTTCCAGTGGTGCTTCTGAAGCCTCTTATTAATTGTCAAGCTTATGGATCCAGCCTCAAGATCTTCAGCACATTGCAGCATTAAATCACATTCCCTACACCTGACCCGGAACTCCTTACCGCAAACTCTTTAGCCTTCATCCCCTAACGCCCTTGATCCCAGCATCCGAGGACTTCCACACAGCTACCGCGAAGACACGGATCCACGCAGGGGCCTGAGGCTCCAGGAACTAAAGCCCAAGAAGTTCGTCATGCTGCTCAATCCCTGGATAAGTCCTATTGCAAATGAGGGCCTGGTTATACCACAGCAAGTACGCCATTTTCAAGTGAGCCCAAGCAGGGCCTTCCCCTACACCCCAAATCCCCAAATGCTAACATCCTGCCTAGCCCCAAGTCCATCTTCGTCTCTACCACAGGCTAAGGCATCTTGTTTTAATGCGGGAATTCATTAGTTTGTCGTGTGTCCTTGTCTTCTCAAGGCCGTCAGGCGCTGCTTTACCGGACTCCGCCAGAGGCGGGAATCAATGTCTGAGCTTGCGCCTTCAGGTGGTGAAGGGGTGTGGGATGTGGGAGGGCCGGTGGGTTTACGAGTTCTAGGGTTGCGGTGCTGAGACTAAGAGTTTGCTGGGTTTCAAGAAGGCAGAGGTTGTTACTCGCGGTTTCGAGTTGAGTTTATATGTTTTAAGAGCTTCTGACCTTAGTATCGGGAAGTTCTAGCATACCCTCTGGTGATCTTACTTGGCCGGCGGCATGAGGAACCACTTTTTTATTTGGGAGCTTTTTGCCACGAGGTTCTAAAAGGATGCATGATAATGTTTTGCATTCTCTGTTTCGATTCAATGTTGGTGAAGCAATTCCTTGATCAAAAATTAAGCATTTAGGTTCACGGCTTGAGGAAGCGTTTGAGGCATACATGGCCTTCGAGTGTTGAAAGCTTCCAAGCCCTCAGACCCCAGCCATAAGCCCAATCCTTAAACTCTTTTCTCTAGACCCTGGTTGGTAGGGAATTCCCCACGAACAGCTTTTAAATGAACCCCGCAGCAATTGACAGCCCTCACATTCTCCAGAGCGAAGGCTCTGACCGTGCGCGGGAGCGTTGTCATTCCGGAGACTCCGGTGTGGCCGGAGTCCTAGTTCACCAGGGAAAAGAGAGGAGGAAAGGGAGAAGGAGTGTACATTGAGCAGGTTTCTGGAGCATCTTGTGGTGTTTTGGCGGGTTTAGTGCTTGCAGCTGTAGTGTGCAGCGGACAAAGAGTACAGAACCAGCCATCGCCTTACTCTGTCTTTCGTAACTTCCGTTTTTTGGGACCTACCCGCACCAGGCGTGAAAACTGCTCCGGGGTGGTCGTTCAGCTGCGCACGTTACTCTGGTCTGGGAGTGGTAACGTCATTTTTGGTATTCAGTGCCAAACGAGGAAGCATGCCGTATCCTCGAGCACTTTCCCAGCAGAGTTCTGGCTGTAGCCCAGTTCTTTGTTTGTAAGTCTTTACATTGACTGTAAGCAATGACATGAGTAGCTATTTGCCAGGGAGTCAGAGGTTCTGGATTCGGGCCAGAGCCAAGAGTCTCCCAGGTTCATTTATGATGGCTCATCACCAATCCTGGGTGGAGCATCTCCAGAGCTCACGTGACTTCGAGGGGATCTTGTGTTGGAGATGTTGGGCACTTCAGGTTTCTCAAGCGCAAACCGTCAACGACTACGTGAGTAGGCCTTGAACTGGGCATCCCGGCCCATACCTGGAACTCCAGCATTCTGTACCACCATGCATCCGAAGAGCTCGAGCTGGAGCATTCAGACTTCAGACTACTGCAGGTTTGAGTTGTGGACTGGAGGTCTTGGGATTCTTCCCACCCCTGTTGCACTTTATTGAATGAAGGCCAAATCCAATCATCAAGCCCTCAACCCGCACTGGTCCGAACCAAATGGGCCTACGGATCTTCCTTCTACCCCAAAGCATGCCATGAGGGCAACATGCTGAGACTCTAAACCTCTATTCCCAACTCCAAAATATGCAATCCGAGGGCAAAGCCTCAGTTCCCATGAAGAAGGACTATTGCATTCTGCAGGTAGACCGCCCCTATTTCTGTGAGGTTTCCTTGCCTCTGCACTCGCTGGGCAATGCAGTCGAGGCTTTCCCTTTTTGAGGGCTGACTTGGAGGTTCATGGGTGCTTGCTCTTGCATTTATATCGCAAGTACAACCCAAGCATAGGCCCTCCAAGTCCACTAAAATGTTGATACCCGGGTCCAAACTACAGTCATACTTGGTATTTACATGCCCATGAATATTTCTATGAGGATTGCAACAAGCTCTAAGCAATTGCATCTACAGAATTTAACAGGCGTTATGGGAACCGTTTCATAATCTGTCATGTTTTAATTCTATAACTATAGCTTAATTAGGCCCTTTGAGAAGCTGCTAGATTCAAATCCATAGGATTCAAATTATTTCCATCTCATTCATGTTGTTCACGTGGCCCATTCGTGTCTTGCAGGGCAGTGAGTAAGCACGGGAGCGATGAGATCAAGAGTTCCACCAGTTCTTGGATCCGCAACTCTTCTTTGCCAGGGGTCCGCAGACTTTGACCGCCAGACTCCAAGACAGCAGGCAGTGTGTCCCCCAATAGCATATTCAAGTTTACAAGCACTAAGGTACGTGAATACAGTAGTGGCGCTTGACCCGTGTTACGCTTTGTTTGTCGAGGTCCGTATTACGTGATGTAGGGAGACTACAAACAAGCTAATGCTGCCTTTCCCGTTTGGTAGTATTGCTGCTATGCTTGCACGAGTCTCTACAGGAGAGGCTGTTTTGGGGCACAAGCATGCTGGATGTGGGGCTTGTACACACCCTATTGCCCACTGAGCTCAGTTCACAAGCGCTGTGACGAGTTTCCGAAACACATCACATCAGTATAGGTATTGCAGCCCCAGGGTGCTGATGGTGATGATCATGGGAAATATGCTTGGCAACTGCATCCGCCAAAGAAAAAACGTTCACCAGCAGAATATGTATGTCCCGAATTCGAACCTTAATCTCGTGGCCTATACCCCGCCTTGAAGACTAAATAAGCCAAATCAAGGGCCCAGCTGCGATCGGAAACAACATTGCGCCTTGATTTCGGTTCAAGTCCCAGCTGCAAGCCGAAACACAAAAGCAGCGTTTAATCGTGGTTTCCTCAGGTGTCTTTTAAGTACCGTAGTCTCAGGATTACAATCCTGACATGGCTGGTCATCCCCCGACTCTGCAAACTAATGCAATTGGAGCTTCAAGTTTTGAGCTCACCAAGGCAATTAGGATGTTGGCGTAACTCCGCAGCATAGAGTCCAATTACCTTTTTTTCCCGATGGACCCGGGAGCCCTTGAACCGCCAAAGTCAGCCTTGAGCCCTTTTTACTAGCTGGATCCTCGCTCGAACGCATGCTTTTCCTTATAGAAGCACATGTCTGGAACTGAACACTAGGATTTAAGAGGTTCATGCAAGCATGGTGCGCGTCTGGACGCTTGCGGGGGAGGAGTTGATACTCTCGCCCGATGAGACGCTCACCACGGTGAGGCCATCGAATGTCAGATTTTGCGGTTTGCGCCCAACGTTGATTTTTGAGGGTCCCCAATGTCGAGAGAGCCCCATCATCATCGGTTTTAGGAACACCGTGCACGCTAGCCGCTAAATCCAAGCAAAGAAATTAATCAAGTCCGCGAAGCCAAAAGTGTTGTAGATCGGGCCTCTATGGTTTGGAGATCAGGCTCGGCAAAATGTGATTCTGGTGTCAGTGCATTATTGGGCTGTTTAGGGCTCAAAAGCAACTCTGGGCTAAAAGCCGCCTCTGTCAAGAGCTGTAGTGTACATAAGTGTGAGGTGTCTGAGGCCTCTATAGAGCCCACAGTGAAAGCCGTACCGGATTAGCTGTGTTTGCAGGGCCCGTTACAGGATTGTATGTCCCGGAGCCAACTGCTGTTTTGAGCCCCCAGTCGGAGTAGCCGAACTGTGTAAAAGGCTTGCGTTCTTCTCACCACGGAGAAAATCCAGACCACACACTGCGCAGCGTCCCGAAGACCCAACAATCATGAGCACCTACAACAGCAAATAAGCTACCCCAACATTCTGAACTCCCAAACCCCAAACGCACCATTTTCAACTTTAAGCCCTACCGCGACAGGTTGGACAGGTAGTTGGACTGGACATTTGGCATTTGACCCTCTACGTCTAGACCCTTGAATCCGATATCCCAAATTCTGTCCAAGGCTTTGGATACCAACCAGAGAACACCTCTTGGGAAATGACTTCATGCCCGAGAATCTTCCTTCGGACTGCTTCGAAAAAGAAACTCGAAACTCACGACCCTACATGTGCAGGTGTTTGAAGCGATGTCTGCATGCGCGGCACGGGTGCCCTCCGCGCTTCAGGCAGCGCCTCCTGCTTCAAGGCACTTGTTTACAGGACACTGTTTAGGGTTTTGGTTTTAGGTTTGTGTGTTTTTGGATTTAGGAAAGACTTGCATTTTCTGTTAAAGCGCTTTATTGTAGTCCACTGACCATTTTTTATTGTCATTCAATAGGGTCTGGTTGAGTTGCCTTCATACAGAACTGAAGCCCCCGAGCTTCAATCAGACCCGTGAGTTCCATTCAACGACCCTGCTTGACTTGTGATGATCTCCACTGATGCGTAAATTTCACCGCTCAGCCCTAAACCCCCTGGAGAGGACAACCATATGCTGGAATCGCAGTTGGACCTGCAGTTGGTCGTGCTCCCGCTTTGTGAGAATTCTTTCTCCGAGGCGGAGGTCCTCCTAGATGCGGCTGGCAATGGATATGTGACCGACGTTGAGGCCTTGTTGCAGTTGGAGTGGGATCCTGACCTGATAACTCGCAGTGGCCAAAGGCCTCTTGTAAAGGCTGCGCGACAAGGTCACCTGGATGTTGTGCACCTGTTGTTGGAGGCAGGCGCTGACAAAGACTTGGCCCAAAACGATGGCAGCACTGCACTGTTGGCTGCATCACGCCACGGCCGCACTGAGATTGTACGCGTGCTTGTGGAATCTGGAGCGGACTTGGACTCCATGAAGCTGGTTCTCCAATACTTGGTATGCTTTGTTTTCCTGGATGGTCTGAGTCATCATCTATTCCATTCTACCTGAAGGGGGAAGGGTCACCTTAAGAAAGGATCAACCGCTGTGTTGATTGAACCTCGTATTGCCCCTCGTATTGCCGGCTTCTACACGTACCCTGTCCTGACTTCTTTAGAGCCATCATCACCAAGCCTGGCCTTAGTTTAGTGTAGTAGTGCGCTGCGGACAACATGGCCTTAGCTTGATGCTTGCTGGTGTGGGTGCTGCTCTAATCCTGCTACCCCTAACCGTGTAGACTTCAGGACTTGGGTTTCTAGCCGTTCAGCGTTTGGACTGCCAAGAGTTTGGGACCCCTCAGGATCTTGAACACACAACCTGCAGGGCCTTGCAAGCTCCTTCCTCGGCATTCTGAACAAAGCGCCTTACATGCTAAGTGTCCCTCATGAAGACCACAGCTCAAAGGGCGACACTTGGTTGTGTAGCCTTCTTTGTCAACATCCTTCCTGTCAGGTGAACACGCCTGACATCGGCTCCCCTAACGAGGGTCCCAGTATCTTACAGTCTTTACACTCAGAAGCCAAGGAACATTTTTGGCGCCACTGCCCTCATGGCCTCCGCATACAATGGTCATTTCGATGTGGTTCAACTGCTGGTTGACGCGGGTGCCAATCAGGAGCCTTGGCTTGCATGAGATGTTTTCAGAACCCCTGAAATGCTGTTAAGGGATGTAGGGCGTTCCCACACCACAGTGTTGCATTTCCGGCTTATGTGTTGATGGTGGGCTCTTAGGTAGCGTGCCCATCCCATAGTGACAGATAGGGGCTTCTCCTTGGTTCACATAGGGGCCGCCGGTAGGTTGCGAAGCAGGAAACTACCACCATGACGGCATTCGACATGTAGGCTATGCAGTTCTCACTTTCGTGATGGCAAATGTGTTGGGGATACAGCTGAAGCTGAAGGTTCCTTGTGCTTGGAAGTGATGTCGTCTGCCAGGTGTGACCCTCAAAGGGTTCCCGAAAGCCTTCAAATCATACAGCCGACATGAACCGCAGGCGTTCCCACTTCACCCTACAAAGCTTTTTCTCATCCTTAACAAGTTCCCTGCGGTCGGTAGGAAATCCCGAACCCTGACCCCAAACCTCAAACAATCCAACAATGCTTGAAAAAAGGCACTTGCCTGATGATGGTAGGTTTAATTGGAGAAAGTGGAGTTTAGTCCGACTATCATGAGGGTTCTGTCGCCTAAAGATTCAGAGACAAGACCAAGGAATTGGCAAACGCCAACGGAACCACGGCATTGACGCTCGCAGCGCGGCGTGGCCACGTGCGAGTTTTGAGAATTCTGAAGCCGGAGGGCAAAGGACCTCAGGGTTCAGGCGTTTAGAGATTCAAAGTTCAACCTGCCGCCCGTGATTTTCGGAAGCTCCAAAGAGACAAACTTCCAGATTGGCGCCCGAAAGCGCATTTCGGAAAAGATCGCCTGAGATCACAGCCTTCAAGCCTGAAGACTAAACCGCCGGGACTGATACATCATTCGCTTCATTCGGACATTTGAAGCACCCCAAAGCCGAGGCATCCAAACAACCTGAAGTCTCGACTGCAAGCTCTACAGGCTAAGCCCCCCGCACTAATGTAGCCGCACTCACGAACTTCAAAACCAGTGCGCAGCAGCCCTGCACTCCAGAGCTTTGAAAGTCCTGATTTTGCAGACTGTTTGAGGAAGCCTAAGTCCTCGGGCTTGAGAAAGAACGAAAGGCGAGATTTCGTGGGATTCGCCCCCTTGGCGTTCTGGAAAGGTTTCAGGAGACTATTGAATATTGTAAGGCTGCAGACACCCCAATTCCCCAATTCCTAGAGTGAGGACACAGAATATTCTTTATCTTTATTGTCATCATCGTGAGTCTCATGAGCACCCTGACATTAACACCAAAACACCATCGCCATAATCACGGTCGTTATCATCACTACCATTACCACCATCACCGTCATGACAGTACCTGCCTCATCAGAAGCAAGCACATTACAGAAGAGCACAGACTGCATGTTTCACATGAGACAACAGCAGCAACGAAAGATGTGCCACCGTAGTTTCTTACAGACCCAATGCTGAGGCGATGGCATGGATGATTTGTTCAGTGCCCAGCTCCGCCTGGGCCTTGGCTTCTGTCAAAGTTCAGATGGGCATTTCTCAAGATTACGACTCGAGCATAGTCCAGAACGTAATAAATCTTGAACTTCCTAGGACAGTTTTCAGCTCCGTGCCCAGGCCGGTATCAGAGTTTGCCCGCGCGGCCACCGGAAATCGACAACTCCGACCTTGAGGGCGAGCACAAGGCGGAAGGGTGACAGGATGCAGGATTTAGAGTTAGCGGACCGGGGTCATGGCTCAGGGCCAATCAGGGTTCAGGTTCTTATTTTGCGCAGGTTTGGGTGTGCATTATGGGGTTTGGCAGTTTTTCTGTGTGCTGTATGTAGAGTGTTCGGAATTGGTGCTTGCAGGGCTTGGCATGTAGGACTCAGGGCCTTGCACGGTGTGGGGTTCTGGATTGGAAAACTCGCGTCCTTCAGTTTCAGGATCCGTGTCTTCAGGAGGGCAGGGCTATGCTCAAAGGACGGGTTACAGCTGTTTGGTTCATGGTAGGATACTTGAGGCAGCTGCGCAAGTTGTACCTTGTTCAGTCTTCCTTTCGGAGCTCTACCAGCTCACGCTCGGCTTGTTGTTGCCAAGAGTTTGTAGGCATGGGTGGTTAATCGCTAATTAAAGTGTCCCCTCAGGAGTCGCCAGTATGCTTCTCCCAACCTTTAACTTCAAGCCTTTGCACGGCTCTGCTGGGCTTGGCAGCCTTTAAGATTTGATAGCATGCTTCAGAGCATGTAGAGCTTCGGGTTTGGGATGAGGCATGATGGGGCCAAAGTGCTTCAGGTGGTCGCTGCTGAAGCAGTAGTCTACCCCAAGCCACACCCAACGCTAATTCTCAGCCTTAGCTACGACTGCCTGCAGCTCCTGCTCGAAGGGGGAGCTGAAGATGAACTTGGTGGAGCATCTGGACTTCGCCGCTTGCTGTGCAAGATGGGCTTAATGTTTAGGGCCCTTCTGGCGCTGACAGATCCTGCAGCGCCCTAAGAAGCCCCTTTGAAGCATCAAGGGCCTCCTTAAGGTGTATATTCAACTTCTGTGGGTCTTGAACTCTTATGGCAGCTACCTATACTACCAAGAAGTAAACACCTTCTGTTTCGAAAGGTGTGTTGGAGGCCCTACTTAGACGAAAACCCTAGCCAGCCGCGGCCAAATCTCGGAGGCCTTGCTTGCCTGCTTCTGAAACTCAACACCCGAAGAGGAACGACATGCCATTCCGAGAAGGTTATCTGCTGGCGGTTAACTGTGGCAAGAGTCTGTAAGTTTAGATCAGCATCGGCCGAGGCGAGTCTAAACTCGAAACATCAAATCCTGATCCCTAAACCTTGAGCCCTGAACCTGAAATCAAATGCCAGCTGAGGAGCTGATCCCGGAAGAGATGTGGCTCCGGTTGGTGGAATGGCCCTGAGCTTAGACCCACTTTGAGTGGTGGGCATAGGGTTTATGGGGCTTGGGCTGAATTGCAGGGCTTCAGAAGGCAGGACTTGGGCCTAGAGCGCAAGCTTGTGGACTAAGGTGAGGATGAAGGGTTTATGGGCTTTCATTGGCTACTCGGGCCTCCACTCAAACAAGTGCTTGGTGGGATCAGGGCATATGCCTCACAGCTCTGGAGATTTTCAGACGGCTGGGAATTCTCTTGTTTCAGGGCTGTAGCTTAAAGGGGTGAGGGCATGAGTTTTATGATTGAAGCACCTGTTACAGTACGGAGCCATATGCTGCATGCATCTAGCCGGAACTGCATAAGTGTGCGACTATATCACGCTGGATCCCGGGCAGTGCTCACGCCTTCATGTACTTTCACCGCTGAATGAAGGGATCTCAAGACTAACAATCAACACGAGGCCCTTACTGAGCTCTTGTTGGACCTCTTCCAGCTTCAGCTTTAGGACATTCAGCGTCCAGCTATATCCTGCAACCCCCGAAATCCGAGTTCCTAGCAGTTCCAAGAACCTGAGCAGAGGTACGGGGGCGGTCCAGCTTTGCCTCGGAAGGTGAAGGGGGGAGTTTTGTTTTCACAACATTAGGGGTTTTAGGTTGTCGAAATTGAATGGGATATCGCATTGGACAGGATTTTGAGGATTATGTGGGCATGATGTGGGGTTGTAGAGTGAGGGATATGGGGTGGAGTACGCTTTGGCTTCGGCATTCAGAGCTTTTGCGGTTTCAGTTGAAAGTGTGGCCCCCCAAGATGTAAGGCCTCAGAGCTCATTTTTTTGTGTGAGATGGGGTTGTTCTAGCATTCCATGCTTCAAGTCGATAGAGAAGAATTGGCTTCAGGTGCAAACAGAAAAGCAGGTTTGACAAGAGCCTAGTGCATTGACCTTATTAGATTTCGTCCACACGCTTGAAGCTCTTTGAGATGCAGTCTATTCTTGAAGCTAAGCCACACGTCAGAAGCTCTGTATGCCCCGAAGCCCAACAACCGCTCCACTCACCCAGCTGCTGTTGGATTCCCCGTTTCAGAGACTCGTAGGTCTAGCAGAATTTGCTTCAGACATGTTCAATTCAATCTTTCTGAAAAGATTGCCGCCTGAGAACTCTACATGCTTGGGCAGGTGATCTGCATGGGCCGCGACCATCAAATGAAGGCAGCGTGTTTGCTTCCTACAGTTTAATCACTGCTGGAACGTATCATTCAGCTTCGCATAGAGCACCTTGGTTATACTGGAGATTGGGTCTTTGGTTGGCAAGCCCTAGGCATCGGAATAGCCCAAGGTGGTTTGTATTTGCAGACTATAGGGCGCAAAGTACGTTGTGTTTCTAGAATTCGATGCAGGGAAAAGCTTGCGGTTTGGGCTTCATGATTCAGGATTCCAGAACTCAGAGCTGAGGGTGTTTAGCACGCAGAATCTACGAAAGCAAGCTGATAGGAAACCCGGGTAATGCCTCGGTCGCTCCACAGGTCGGGGTCCCGATTTAGGCATCCCCTATAAGACCCTATTCTTGCAAGGCACGGTGACCCTACCTCACAGCCTTTGGTTTTTAGCAACAGGCATTTCCGCATAAATCCATGAACTAGCATGCAAAATCCCAGGCGTTAGCCCCCAGAAAATTCACCACTGCGCTTAAAAGGCGTTTCGGCTGCTGAGCTTCAGAATGATTCCTGCTTTGCAGGAAGTCTTTCTGTTGATGCCGAGCAGCCTTTGTCAGTCACGTGGACCCTGACTGCCCATCTCGACCCATGGCAGGACCTGTGAAGTACTACCGAAACAGCAAGTAATAGGAGAGCTGTTCCAATAGCACAGGTACGATCTAAGATGTAGGGCCAACATCCTGCAGGCGGAGGTTTATTCTGCATTGCAAGCGCTTTATATGCAGTCTATCTAATTTTAGGAATCCTCAAGGCGCTGAGATGAAAGATCAAGGTAGGCGGGTCAGACATACCCTTCACCTCGCCTTGCCTCACCCCAGCGAAGGTCTCAAAACCAATTCAACCCCTAAATGCATCACAACGGAGTGTGGGTGACTGTTGATTTTTATTTATTCGAAAACATTCTGAAGTCCTGAAGGTCTCCATGGTGTTCATAGATGCCGGGAGTATTGCAACCATCCCCAGCACCTGAACCAAGCAGCGCAATCGAACCCACAGACTAAACAGCACTGTTTAGCCCCCAGCATGAGAACCATCAGCCACATGATTCCATGTAAGAACCCAACACCCTAATCTATCCCAGAGCTTTTGTTGATCCGCCCGCTAATTGTCAAAGAGCTCCATCCGGCAGGTGGAGCTGTACCCAGCTCTGCTGTTGGTGGTGGCGCCGGCATCACTTCGCCCAAACTTCAGGGTTCTTCCTTGAGCCTTCTTTGCTTCGTGTTGTTCGAGTTGGTCCTAGCTGCTTTTGGGCTTTCCCAAGAATCACCAGGCTTGAAAAGCAGCTGTTTTTACGACCGCCCCCCCTGTTGTTGTTATTTTGGATTGCCGCTGCGGCTATCATTGCTGAATGCTTTCAGGGTTCGGGGGTGCTGGATGTACGGCCATTATGCTGGCGGGTTTTGTGACAGATGATTGCGACTTTGAAGCTCAGGATTTCACAAAGAGTGGCTAACCATTCAACATCATTGCCTTAGCTACGCTTAACGAGGTGAGATTTGTAGATCGATTCTGTATTTCATGAGGAGCATGTTCCAAGTAATGCAGGGGCCCCCTCAACATTCTACGAGCCTTTGCTTGTTAAGTTGCACTTGCATCGTGCGTTGGAGCGTTGCTCTCGCAGTACGGAGGCTTGACGATGGCCGGGACCAACGTAGCAGATTACGGGTTTGGAATTCATGCAACATTAGTATGCTACTGGGGGATCCCTTTCATTGTCACCTGCCTATCTTGAGCTTGGAGTCTTACGCCCTAAAGCTTTTGAGTTTTCAGGCTCATCAAAGCATTTCCTTGCCTTGCCATGAAAGACGTTGTATCCTGAGCTGGCGGAGGCAGTCAGAGGATTTTCCGGAAGTCAAGAACTAGCTCAAACGATGCCATTGTTAAGTCATGGTGAGGAGAATGGTGGATCCAGCGCTCCAGACCCCGCAGCTTTCCAACCCCTGTTGCTACTTCTGGCGCTCTACCACGATGGTTCCATCCGTCTTCACTCTGTGCAATCTCTCTTCAAGTAGTACCCCTTTGCCAAGGATTATGCCTTTGGCACTGCAAGTTCTGTGCTCCGGAGCCCTTACCCGGTTTCACCCTGCCGTTTCGAAACTTTGCTGTCGACCTCCTTGTAGCAGTACAGGCCCCAAGGGCTTGCAATGATGCACCAGAGCCCCAAACCTGCAACGACTGTGTGAAGTTGACAGGTGGTTGCTGGTCCAGATGGATCGCCACTCCCGCAGTTCAGCGCTGCCTGCATGATTCGTGCAATGTATCAGGGTTCCTTTCTCGCAGTGAAAGTTCACTCTCAAGATGCATACGTACATGCATATGAACGGATTCTTTGGTTCTATTTGGGGACTTATGCAGGGTTCTTGAGCTGCTCTCCAGGTTGAGCATTGAGCATGCAGGGTGAGCACATTTTGTTTGGGATCGTAAGCGGCAGGGAACCTTGCTCTTATACGTGCCTCTAAGGACACAGAGACAAGTCCTTCGTTGTTCAGTTTGCTTGGATTTGGGACCACGAGATCAAGTCCTGACAGGATTCACTAGGGTAATTTCTGTTCTACAGAAACGGCTAAGGAACTAGTATCATGAAAGTAGAAATACCACATGGCGACTTTTTAGATGTCGTGCCCTGAGATCTTACTCATGGGCACTGACGTTACTTGCTAAGGGGTCCGCCAGTTTACTTGCCCGGGTGGTCTTTGCATCAGGTGACAGCCGCTGACAAGTCCGTACTTGGGGTTTGGCTCCAGGACGATACCTGCCCATCTACTTGCAGAACTGTCAGGGTGGTGTAGAATCAGAAAAACCTTCCTGTTGCCATGGAAGGAGAACTGTCAACCTGGCTGGCTCAATACGAGGAGCAAAAGGGAAGCCTTCCTGAGAGGCCTGATCAGTTTCAGGCCTTCGTGAGGAATCGCGGCGGACCTTTCCCATCATACGCTGCAGCCAGAGACTTTTTGCTACAGTGCAGAGAAGCTCGGAAAGCTGCCAAACTTGCAGAAGCCGTAGAAGCGAATCTGGTTTCGGAATCCGAGCTGAGTAATTAGTCATCAGTTTTGGGTAGGGATGTATATTTCACATACTGTACAGGTTGGCATGTGGTTGCCTACCATGAAACAGGGTTTAAAGGGTGCAAGGGTGGGTGTTGCAAGGCCGCCAAAAAAGCAGCCGGCGACCATCCTGGGCACAACTGATCAACAACATCCCATGCGATCAGAAAAGGGGTTTATGTGATTTCTAAGCGCAATGAGACAGATTGGAATCTTAAAGCAAAGCTGGCTGTCTTCAAAAAATGACTAGCCATCGGTTTCAGCCGATCCTCATACGGTTGCTTCAGTGACGGGCGGCCAAACAAGGACGAGCTGTCGCAGGCAGCAGATAGCAATCATGCTGCGCACCTGGCTGCTGAAGAGAGCTCCTGGGCTGGCCAGATGGCGTTGAACCCCTGGGCAAATTACCTCAGACCGGAAGAAAGAGATCCTTGGGCAAACTACCGCAGTCCAGAGGAGAGAGGCGAAGACCATCCTATTGACCCGCCTTGGCTTACTAGTAGCAGCGACGCCAAGCCGAGATCAGCCTTTTCAGGAGGTCCAGGGGCATAAGGTTGAGCTCGTTGGGATGAGTTTTGCTGCTGCAGTTATTGTTCTTTGCCCGGACATGCCTAATCACAGCAAGCACTCGTTGCACTGTCAAGGTTCTGCAACATGGTTCCAGGGTGCTAGTTACTAGTCCATTGCCGATCACGGTTTCACGGCCACTTCCTTACTAGGCACCAAGGATCAGTCATCCATGTCCAGAGGCAGCAGCCCATCCACACCTTCTTCTCCTTCGGACTATGCTGCATATTTGTGGGAGGATGACACAGGCGACTATTTTGCTCGAGAGACAGACGGCTATACACACCTGGACTATGATCATTCAGCTTGGCGTTGGCTAGGCGAGCTCATCCCAGAGCGACCTGATGGCATAGAACCATATCTACTTCCTGAAAGCGTGTCGGAGGTCTAGGTGCAGAGCATACGCTGTGATAGTGAGGAGGACCATGACTCCTCTACTGCCGCTTCTTATGCAGATGACCCGATGCCACGAGAGATGCCAGATAGCAGTGAGCGGACTATGCAAGACCCTCGAGAATCTGAGCTGCTGTGGTTGCAAACTGAGAACCAGCGGCTAACAAGCGAGAATGAGGTCTTGCATCAGATCAACGACAAGCTCCGACACGTCACCGAGCAACGGCTCTCCAGAGCATCCGGAGCACCAACCCATGAACAAAGTCTGCAGCCCAGCAGAGGCAGACACGAATTGTGTGGTTGGCGCCCAACGTTGAGTCCTGGCGCAAGTTTGTAAGATCAGCATATATGTCTGAAGCAACTCAAACTCAATTGTCCCATGACTTTCATAGCTAAGGAGAAGTCATGAGGGGACTCACGTCAGCTATAAGGAACGGAATAGTGAGCAAGGCCGGAACGACCACGAGCCCAGCACTTCCAGTCATCGGTGGTCCCAGCGGCAAGAGGATGCAGCTGGAAACCAGCAAAATGCGTGGAGTGGTAATTACACCCACCGCTATGCTAGAAGCTGGCAGGAGGACCAAGCTGGTTCTAGCAATTCCTGGTGGGAGGACGAAGTTGACTCGTAATCAAAAACCACAGCTGGTGTTGAGCATGAGGCGGCTTTGCCGTCAGAAATGAAGAGGAGGTTTTGAAGTTTCTGAGGTGTTGAGATACCTTGGTGGCCATCATCAGGTTTCCATTGCGACGCGGGCGCAGTGTACAGTGGCAATGTTGGCAGAAGGACCTTCAGGAAGTGGCATCCGAACACAGACAGAGTAATAGCCAACGTTCTTCCCACAACTCTTCCTACACATTTGCCGTGGAAATTCTTGTTTCAACGGAGGTCAGGTTTCTAAGCAGCCTTTCCCCAGAGCCGTGTGACTGGACAACATCAGGCTGCACTGTCAAAAGCGGCATGCTCATTGAACCGGTTGGCTTGTTGCCAAGCCTTATCCAGCCCAAAGAAGCGTCGTTTCGCGTCCTCAAAGTCGCCTTAGACTCTAAATTCCTGAAACACATCCTAGTTCCCAAGCCCTACCTGTAACCCCAACTACCTGCAGTTTAGTAGTAGCTGCCACCTAATTCTGGGGTATAACTTGGGGTTACTGGTAGGCCCTCTGATGGCCCAAATTCTGACGCCCAAAACCCTAAACCCTAAATCCTTCCCGAAAACCTTGCAAACAAAGTAATGATTTTTTGCAATATTCTGGAATACCGCTGCCCAAACCTCATGCCCAGAATAAACAACAAGACCAGGCTGCATACTTGCTTGAAATTGGGCACCCCAATTCCTAAGCCCTACACCCCCGAATCCTATCCAGCTGCAAGGCCGCCGGTTCTTCATCTCTAAGCAATCCACCATGGACCAGGCTTGGCGGTAGTCTTACTTCCTCGCGCTAGCCATTTTCACCGGCTTCACTCCATCACATTTTGTATGAACCCGCTTCTTCACAGGTGGACGTAGCTTCCCAAAGTTTTTAGCTTGGCTTTAGCATATTGAGCTGTCCCGTGGGGGACACAAGCTAGATGCAAGTTGGGAACGACAATCTGCAGTGTTTGATTTAGGTGTACGTGCTTTCCCCGCGTCGGGATCACGTGTTTGCTGGGTCAGGTTCCCATGGCCATGACCACCTCACATTTATCCTCCAGATGGACTTCTTCCTACACGGTCCCTACACAATCAATGGAGAATAGCTTTCCTGAGCGCAGGCCCCGAGACCCTAAAACTCATGATACCAAGCCCAGGAGGTCCCATGAGAGAGACATGTAGAGAGATGTGTCTGTATATCTATATATATATATACAATGTAAATGATACATACACATATGTATGTATCTATATATTTATGTATGTGCAAGCGTATTTGGATAGTTGTCGTAGTTAGAGGCCCTTTCTCCCTGAATAATAGCAAACGCCATCGCCGCTTCTGAGGCAGCGCGCCCGACCCTTGGGTTGATACCTCTTGAAGCGTAGGCCACGCAGACTGTGTACCTCCCACACTCTGCAGTACACCATCAGTTCCGAGCACCTAAGTTAAATGCTAGATCCTCCCCCGGTAGCCTAAGCCCCAGATCCAACTGAGCTTTCTTGCAGACCTTGTCCATGCTGGCGGAGAAGCTTTCGCAGCCCGTTGACCGCTCCCGGCTCTGGCACCGCTCCAAAGGCGCAATCTGTTTTGCTTTGGGAAATCTGTTTTGCTTTTATGGGATGGATGACTGCAACGTTCTCGATGCACATGGTCTTTGCAAGAACTGTTGTAGGAGTTGTTGAGGGATGCAGGTTCTAGAGGCATGCTGTGAAGGATGTAGTAAGCATCATAGACTGAGATTCACTGTGTCATGATTGGATAGAACTTTGCAGCTTCCGGAAAACAAACTGCAGGCATGCAATGTCTTGGCTAGGCAGGCGCGAAGGTGTGCAAGAGGTTCGGGGATTCAGGTGTTTGAAGCGTAATTTCGTGGTCCAGCGTCTGAATTCAGGGATCTCAAATGCGGTGGATTCGAGTGCAAGACCTGCATGGGGCAAACCTACCCTGGCAAACCCCCAAAGCCCAGAAAACCAACAGAAAGCTTCCATCTCAAAAAAATAAACCCGAATGCAGGTGAGCAGTGGCGCTTGGTAGACAACCAGAATTGCACCCTGGATGAGTTCCTGGAGGGCAAGGTGCGAGCCAACCGGTGATGGTGTTGCAGCCTACACCTGCCTCCTGTTGCTGAAGAAGAAGCAGATTATGTCTACAGGGGTTACTATGCGAATCCATGTCTGCTTCCCTGCTTACGAGACCTGCTAACAAGAGGCAGTACTGTCCTGGTGGGTAGCAGAAGGTTGAGGAGGATTCAGGTGAGAGTTAAGGGATAAGACCAATTCTAGGATTCGGGGGATGCCCATGCCGAGGATCTTCATTGAGTTTTGAGCAGGTGCAGGTGAAGTGCACAATTCGAAGAGAGTTCATGGCACAAATCCAACTATCCCGGTCCAACACAGCGGTGATGGTCCACAGTCTCTCAGACCCGTGAAGAAAGCGCAAAGAGCTTTGAGACATCCGCATAGAGCTGAGGGTGCCCAATGCTTGCGCTAAAGGTCTCGTGTAGTCTGAAAACCCTAGAGCCATACCCTGAAAACCTCCCAACGACGCGACACATGGAATTCTCATCCAAAAACTTCTCATTGCACTTTGTCGCAGTTATCCCCAAGCAGCCAGGGCTGGGATGCCGGAGCCTTCATGCTTGAGACGCAGGTGGAGTCCGAGTGGCCGAGAGCTTGGCAGGGTTTGGGTGAACATGTGTGAAGGGTTCCTTAGGATTGAGTGATTTTGGTGTTGAGGTATGGCTTCAATCCATGGCAAGGTGCTATGCTGCAGGCTATGGGGCTGGGGCAAAAGATCATTGTAGGACGCAGCCTGCACCCCACCCCATTCGGCCCTCAGACAGGGTTCTGGGTCCATGCAACGAATTGTGAAATTTGTGGCACAAAGTTGTTTCTAGCGGCAACTACAGAGGAACTGTATGATTTGGGGTGTCGCGGCATTGTGCAGAGTGCAGAGGAAGGCAGTGGTGGATTTACCAGAGCACCGGGAATTAAACAAATGAGGCGACAAACCCGCAATCACTGGGCCACGCTGATGTTTCCAGGTCGTTAAAGGTATTAGCCCCCACGCGCTGCGTGGTGGATGTAGCAAAAGCAAAAGAATTTCATGGCGACAAATCAGCAAACACCAAGTAATGCGTAAGGTTTCAATTTCATGTGCTGGCGGATCCGCAGGTGGGATTGGGAGAGCAGAAGGGGTGAGTGTGGAGTAGGTTTTCAAGATGATGTGCTTATAGTATCCTACCGTGGCAAAAACTGACGCCAAGTTGAACAGGCATTGTTCGGGGATCGTCTAGCGCATACTCTTCCAGCCCCCAAAAGGGAATCCCCATTATGGAAAATGCCTGTAAAAGAGTCCATGGCACTCTTGCTAGGTTGTTGCTGGTGGTGGCGGGTTGGAGTGCAGGGACTTCAGGGTTTGCAGTCTCTCCCCTGCACTGTGGACAAAAAGCGCCAGTAGGATTTTCGCAACGATAGGAGTCAGGCCGTGCGCGATCACAGGAGGAGTTTGACTGTCCTACACGGGCCAAGATAGGTCCGGCTTTCACCATGAGGTGGGGTTTGAGGTCTCTGGGAACCTGCTTATTTGGTTCTCAAGGGTTTGCACAAGGTTAGGACCTGAGGGACTCTAAGCCCTATATTCACCTTCAGAAGCTTCTGCTCGGAACGGCCAAAGACAGGTGAGCAGAGACTGAAACATCTTTCCTCAGGGGACACAAGAAGGTGAGTGGCTGCAGGTTACCCCCCCGCAGTCTGCTTGAGCTGTGCAAGCCCTTTAACGAGAAAGCCGCAGTGAGCTGGCAAGTGGGTTTTGCGAGCTACTTGAGGCAATATCAGACCGGTAAACGAAAACAACATAGGTTTGCTCGCCGCTCTTTTGTCTTGCCGCGCGGCATGCGCGTTAGATACTGCGCATCCGCTCGACAGTGCAGGAAATCCACAATTAGGAGCAGGGTCCCCTCATGTCTTCAAAGATTCGGCTCCTTCTCCCCCCCGAAATCCTCCTACACCTCATGCAAAACTCTACAGCCTCCTTCATCTTCATGTATTTTCATATGCTTACCAATAGTGCTCTCCGCAGAGCAAGGCCCAGGGACAAGCTGCTGAAGGAGGCCGCTCTAGAGGAGGCTTCCTGTCGCTCTTTTTGTTTTTGCTGCTGGATGATGGTAATGCTGTTTTAGGTTTCAGGGCTTGGAATGTAGTGTAACTTTAACTGTAAGCTTCAGGGAACAGATCGGCGGCACGGATTTGGACTTCGGGTTGAGGTTGAGTGCTGCCGTCCCCGCCAACAGGCGTGCAAAGGGACTCTGCTGAGCAAGTTTATGTTAAGTGATCGTGCCATAAAGCTTGTGGAGCCAAGGATGATTTGTTCATCGCTGTGGCTGAGCTTTTTGGGCTCAGGGTTTTGGAAGGGATTGGATGTGTAGTTGCTGGCTTTGTTCAGATAACCCGAATTAGCCCTACAGAGGCAAGCTCCACAGAGCCTGCTACAGTTCTAAATAGTAGAAAAGCTGGAAACGTAGTTGCTCCAATTGAAACTTTGTCCCATGGATATTGATTTTGCACTGGGCATCTTTGGTATTGTTCTGTTGTCTTCGCTCATTATTTCCTTGGTCTTCATTGAATTCCCAACTGAAGTTGGATGCAAGAGTAGGCTATGCAAACCAGACCTCCAAGCCGACTCTTTCCCAGAGTCCGGATCCCGAGTCCAAAGCCATCATCCCGAATACGAATATGTTGAACCCAAGGCCCGAGACCCACAGATCGTGAATGCTCCTACAGGCGGTGGAAACCCCAACTTACACGAAGACTCCCTAAGTAAGATTACAATTACTTTCCCGCGTTCAAGATCTTATCTATTGAATCTATTGAAGGAAGCCAGCAAATTGAGGCCCAATACCCAAAACCCTCCGCGAGGCACGGGAAGATGACCCTCCTCTACAAGAGGCAAGAATTTGTACTTGTGAAATGGCTCCATGAGACTTGTGCCATCTTCCA